AATTGCACAGAACCTCCAATAAACAGGAATTGGGAGCAAACAAATGATTTTGTACCAATTTACCTGTTAAAACCTTGTTCAGACCGTGACCTACCACAGTAGTTTCTGTGCAAACCAACGGCCGCAATATTTCCTGCAGAAAATGATCATTAACTAGATGACAACATCTACNGCAAAATAGATTTGTTGAAACGGTAAAATAAGAAGCAGAGTATATACCTGTACATCTGTCACAGATAGAAAAGTAGCATCACCAAGAATTTGAGAAGTGAGTCCGGTGATATCGGTCCTCAAGTCAGAAACGGGTTGATTGGGTTTCACATATTCATTGAGGATCATCTGATAATCCATAAATCAAGACTTGAGAATAAACAAGACTAAACTAGACTTGACAATAATAAACAAAGACTGACTTAGAGTNAAGAAACCTTGAAATCACGGTCAAGTGCAACAACTCTAATAGGAGCTTCACTCCCATCTTCACAAAGCACCATATCACAAGAGAGTGAAATCATTTCAAGCCCCTCTCCACGCTTGCAATGGTTCCTTCCAACCCCGGTCACAACCCAGTCCTAAAGGACNAACAAACTTTTTTAAAAATCNACCGTAGAAAGAATATATANACCTCGGGGGTAATCAAGAACAAACCTCGGGGTTATTATGCAGGGTCAGATGGTACTCTAGAGNAAGGTCAGCTCGGGTAAGAGTCATCCGAACAAGCCGCTGCAATAGCATAAGCGAATTGCAAAAACTTCTCTCAAACTTCAACCAAACCACAGAAACTGATCAAACAAAAAAAAAACGATTTGAATCATCCATACCTCTACAACAGTTTCTTCCTTGTGAGAAAGCTTCTTCGAATAAAGGTGACGAANAGCACGGCTGGGGCTTGTAAGCCAAGCCGTTAACAGCTGAGAGAAAAAGGCACATAATCAAAACATCAAACAAATGGTTCATTGATCTGTGTTAATCATACCTGCACATCCTCTTCCTTGTTTAGTGTAGTGAGGAAATTGATTGAATCAGCTGGTCCTCGAAACAAAGGACAAGTAAACAAATGTCCATACTTTGGGTCATGGACTTTCAGAAATTGCTCCCATGTACCTTTGTGGCCTTCCAAACCTCGAGTACGCACCATGTGCATCAGCTTTACAAGCTCCTGTAAATCGCATAAATTTACCAAAACCCGATCAACAAAATTAGAAACCAAAACGACCCGATCAACAAAATTAGAAACCAAAACGAACCCCGATCAAATCTCATAAACGTGTTAAGAAGAATCACTTACGTCAACCTCAACGAGGCTC